ATGATCAAATATCTTCAGTTGAAAGTTTCACTTTCCTGTATTCAAATCCCCCCCCCCCGCCTTTTTTTTTTTTTTGGTACTGGGGATTGAACCCTGAGGTGCTTTACCACTGAGCTACATCCCCAGTTCTTTTTATTTTAAGACAAGTTCTCAATAAATTGTTGATGATCTTGCTAAATTGCCAAGATTGGCCTTGGATTTGGGATTCTCCTGCCTCAGTCTCCCAAATTGCTGGGATTAAAGGCATGTACCAACCAAATTTTACATTTTTAAAAAATATTTTTTTAGTTGTAGATGGATACCATACCTTATTTATTTTCTTTTTTTATTATCATTTGTTTCAATTAGTTACACATGACAGTACAGTGATCTTGACATATCATACATTTGAATCAAATGGGGTATAATTACTCCTTTTTCTGAGTGTACAGGTTGCTGAATCACATTGGTCGTACAGTCACGTATATACATACAGCAATAGTACTGTCTATTTTATTCTGCTGTCCTTCCTATGCCCCCTCTCCTCCCTTCTCTCTACCCAATCTAATGTGACACACTTCTTTTTTTTTCCTTCACATCGTCATACATGTAATCTGTATAATGATGAGGGTCTCCTTCCATCTTCTGTGCAATTCCCATTCTCCCTCCCTTTCCCTCCCCTTTCCTCCTCTTACCTCTCTTTCCTATCTAGAGATAATTTTCTTCTCATGCTCTTCCTCCCTACCCCATCTTGAGTCACCTCCCTTATATCAGAGAAGACATTCGGCATTTGTTTTTTTGGGATTGGCTAACTTCACTTAGCATAATCTGCTCCAATGCCATCCATTTCCCTGTAAATGCCATAATCTTGTTATTTTTTTAGTGCTGAGTAATAACTCAATCAACAAATGGGCCAAGGACCTGAACAGACACTTCTCAGAAGAGGATATACAGTCAATCAACAAATACATGAAAAAATGCTCACCATCTCTAGCAATCAGAGAAATGCAAATTAAAACTACTCTAAGATACCATCTCACTTCAGTAAGAATGGCAGCCATTATGAAGTCAAACAACAAGTGCTGGCAAGGATGTGGGGGGGAAAAGGTACACTCATACATTGCTGGTGGGACTGTAAATTGGTACAGCCAATTTGGAAAGCAGTATGGAGATTCCTTGGAAAACTGGGAATGGAACCACCATTTGACCCAGCTATTCCTCTTCTCCGACTATACTCAAAAGACCTAAAAACGGCATACTATAGGGACATAGCCACATCAATGTTTACAGAAGCACAATTCACAATAGCTAGACTGTGGAGCCAACCTAGATGTCCTTCAATGGATGAATGGATAAAAAAAAAAAGTGGCATTTATTTTATTTATTTTTATGTAATGCTGGGATCAAACCCAGTGCCTCACGCATGCTCTTCAAGTGCTTTACCACTGAGCCACAAGCCCACCTCAAATTTCTCATTTTTATTATATGGCAGAAGCTAGTATTGAGAAACTGAGAAATAAGTCCAATGCACTTTCATTCCTTCACTGAATGACAAAGAAAAACAAAAATCTCCCTAGGGCATAACCTTGGAGAGGGGAGACAGCTCTGTAAACTTTTCTTCTAAGAAGACCCTAAGGAAGAGAGGAATTATGAAGATGACACATGTTGTGTCAATCTGAATTTGATTAAATAGCTACATGTTACTAATAGCTACTATATTGGACAGTGTAGCTCAGATCTAACAAAGAGCCATTACAATTCCTAAGCCTGAAGAGGTTAAGGAAAATGATCAACTTCTGACATTTGTAGCAATGCAGAATTAGAGCACTATCTTACAGCGCGGGACTATAGTATGATAAAATTTTAGCCTTTGAAAAATGTTGCTACCACCAATCTGCAGAGTGGCAGGGGAAGGGCTGGGAATACCTGATTCAGTCTTTCTGCCCCTATTCCCCTCTTTTAGTGTCTCTGACTAACAGGAATCAATAAAAAACTAGAGGACAAGAGAATTGATTGATGCAGTCCATCAAGGTAAAGCGGACACAGAACATAGGATGGATAGATAGTGTAAGGTAGAGTAGATCTGGAATAAAACATTATTATACCATGTACATTATGAATTGAGGAATCAAATATCTGGTTTATTGGCACTTATAAATCTAAATAAATATAAAACAAGTAGTAAAAAATAATAAAAACATGGTTTTCAATAGTCATACAACATTTCTTGTTAAAGCTGAATTGAGTGGCACTTAAAAGCACAATACCTTAATCAAAGTTTATGTTCACTTAGATTTCATACACAAAGAATTAGGTTAATACCATGTTCCCCATATTCCTCTGACTGTATTCAACTTGTATTCTACCAAAAATCTGTGTGCAACTTTTTCTAAGGTACATTCTCAAGTCACAAAGCCTAGGTATAGGAAATTTTGTATTTATCTTAGTATAAAAGCCACTGTAAGTCAATAAATAGCTAAACTAAGATTTGAAGATTCGTAGAAGTTCAGTAAACTGGACATGAATGCAAAGGCCCTTACTCTGGGATTGTATGGTTGTTTATATATATATATTGTATCATCTGTCTGATTGTTGGTATGTATCTTAATACCCTTTTTCACTTTCTTCACTTAACAGGGCTAAAGAGGAAAACAAAGAGGAAGGAGTAGCAACATCTATAGTCAGATTCAAGTCTAATTTGTAGAAACTTATATTGTCTACTTTAGTGGGTCATGAATAGATTAAGAGTCCATAGTCTTTACTGCCCAACACTTAAGGAAGAAAGATCTAATGTCACTGTATGGGGGTTGAAATAAGTACCAAAGGAAAAGCAATTACCCCCACCTCCAAGGAGCAAGAGCTGTTGCTCTTCAGGAAGGAGGATGCTAGTATGGTTGTGTAACATTAATGGCCACGGCACACATGTTGTATCAATCTGATACTCAGAGCTCAATCCTGTAGTCAAATTGACAACAGTCACTCCCGGGACTAAGGAAGAATGAATCCAGATCCCTCCTACCAGTAGAAGCTTTTCATTGAGTACATGAGCTGTGTGGGAGTACCTTGGGGTAATAGGAGGCTGGATATCTATTGATTCCCAGAGAAATCCACAAGAGATTGGCCTCAGAAAGAGTACAGAGTTCAATGGCTCCTCAGAAGCCCCAAGACCTCCAGCAATAAGGGCTCCCCCTTGCCAACTGCAGGCACTGTGGGAATGCCTAGCTTCAGGTGCTTCCCCTTCCACCGGGATCTTGACCGAAGCCATTGTCCCTACATGCAAGAAATGCCAGTCACTTAGTACAGGTTCTAGCACACTTCGACCCCCATATACAAACAAATATTTCTGATTCTTATAGGACACTTCAGTTGTTGAATGCCGCCAACAAGACAAAGTGAAATTTCCTGGACCAGCCCTTGTTACTGTCACATTCAGGCTCTCAGTGCTATTATCTTCATTTTTAAATAAATGAATCTGTAGAGGGCTCAAGGCTGGATTTACTGGGGACAGTCTCCCTCCCAGAACCAAAACCTGAGTATCTGAAAGTCTTGTCATAGTGTGATAAAGACGTCCATCCCACTGGGTTCCCGTCCCACAACTGTCTATATGGAAGCCTTTCCATTCAGAGTCACTATTTCTTGACAGCAAGTGAAACTTGTTCACTCTGCAGTGCCGCCTCTCCTGTTCTCCAAATCCTCCTGCACTGAGAATAATGCCAGAGCTCAGGAGGACAGAGGCATGGCCGAATGTTTTAAGAGTTGAGCCCTGATTGTCATTAGTGACTATTCTGGCATCGAAGACTCCTGAAGGTGAAGCAGGATCCACTCGAGGAAATACCTCTGCGGGTGGAAACACCAGAGTCTGGGACAGGGTGTCTCCCCTAGAGGCTGCCAAAACGAAGTAGTGGGCACACTTAAGATGCCACTCCTCAAACTCATCAAAGGGTTCAAGATTTTCTATCCGCCAGCGTTCCTCTGCGGGGAGAAAGCAGTGATAGAATTCATTCATGTCCATGGCACTACAGGCAGTCCAGCCAGCTTGAAGGAAGCGGCACCGCTGGGCCTCCACGTCTGGAAAGCTGTCCAGGCCATGAAGGGGAGAATTCAGCTGCTGAAAGTGTTGCAGCATGAACTGCCCAAATGCATCTTGAGGCTTCATTTGCTCATAGACCACAAAAAGGGCATCAGGAAAACGCCGGGCTGCCCAGGCAATGAGGGAGGCAGCACTAACCGGCTCGAGGTAGGTCAGCACCGCCTCGGCCAGGAGCAGAGTGGGTGTGGTCACGTCCAAGCCCGCGGAGGCCAGGGCCTCATCCAATTCCTGGAGCTGCCTTAGGTCCAAGCCCAGGATGTGGTAGTCCAAGCTCTCAAAGCACAGCACGGACGCGGGACTTCCCCTCTGGAAAGGCCCAGTTAACGCGCACAGTTCCGGTGTCTCTGCAATTCTCTCGGCTTTGCGCCGCGCCACATCCGGGAAATCCACTTCCCACACTGCAGCCCTGGCCAGGAGGCCATCAGTTTTGAGGCAGAAATACAGCGAGTCAGAACCCGCGCCCAAAGACAAGATCTGCAAGCGAGGTGCCTCAGGGTACGCGCGCTCTCGCCTCAGAAAGGCGTGTACACAGTGCCGCACAGCGCGCGCACGGACGTAGTAACCTCTGTGAATAAGCGGCGCGCGGCGCGCGGTCCCCGGAACCAACAGCGCGACGAAGGCGTCCTGCACGTACCCACGCGCGGCTAGGGAACTCTTGCTGAGAGCGCTGCTGTCATTGGTACTCTGTACTGCTCCTGCCCGCCGCTCCCGGCTCCGCGGGCCCATGGTCAGGAGAAAACTCAGGAACGGCTTCCGTCACACTAGTGAACCGCTCCGCTGTTCTTTAGTACAGATCTCACGCCCCTCGGTACCGAAAACTACCCCTCCTCCAGGTCACCCCCTCAAGTAAGAGTTACGTCACTTCCGGGAAGAGTGCAGCTCTCCAATCAGGATTGAGGAGGGTGTTACTTGTCTTAGAGTTCAACTGTGAATGACCTTTCTTTAATTATCCGAATTACGTTTCCTCAAGAAGACTCCCTGCTACCTCAGTGACAGCGTGTGTAGGGAAGAGCGGGTTGTCACCTTTCTCCCACTCTTTCAGTCTGAGGGGAAACTACCTGGGCCCTAATAGTTGAGACATCTCTCAGAGGTGAGTGTGGGAAATGACGACCTGATTTCCTTGGATGGCGAAGGAAGGATTTAGTAGGGGCGAAGAAGGGTCAGCACCACGTACTTTGGAGGGCAAGAAGAAGTCGTTTCTTGGATGCAAATGATAGTTGCGAATTTATTTAATGCTTTCGTCGTACAAAAGAGAGCCTGTTTAAAATCTAAAATCGGGCCATATGGAAAGTGCAGAAACAGACCTTTACAGATAATTTGTAAATATTTATAACTGCCCCCCACAGATATATACTATTGATTACCTTGTATTCCTTGTGCTAGGTTAAGAATGAGTAAAAGACTCACCCTCTGTTTCTCATCTATAAAATGTTACTCCCCTTCACTTCTGAAATTCTGTAACTCTAAAGTGATATTGAGTAGGTCCGTGAAAGGTCATGGAAGAGAGATGATTATTTCCTGTAACATGTTATAAGCCTGCTTTTAAGGAGGAAATCAGGTTATATTTTAAAATAAAGTTTCCAAATTGAATGTTTAGCAGTCACCAATAAGAAACTGCTTTCAGAAGTATTGAGGAGATTTATAATTTATTAATTTTATGACAGGCTGAAATAGAGAAGGAAATCAGGATGGATTTCAGTATATTTAACTCCAAGCAGTAGTACATAATGGTTAAGAGCATGAGTTTTGGAGTCCAGCTCATTTGCATACTAGAGTCAAGAAAAAGCTTAGATCAGGATGAAGATTTGATAATTGAAAAATATAATTTAGCTCTGGTGCTTAAGAGCTCATAAATGACCTTAGGAAGAAACAGTTTTTGTGCAGCAATCAGGGCAGAATCCATGTTTCAGTGAATAAGAGATAAGTTAATGGAGGCATCTAGGCTAAATTATGCTTTCAAGGAGCTTAATTCAGCAGGAGAAAACAGCAGTAGTAGCTAATGAAGAAAGTGAGATAAAAGCTGAGTCCTCCCCCGCTTCTGTTTTCAGGTGGAAGCAAATACATGCTGCATATGCATGTTGTTCCTCTGAAGGAAATCAGCTATCAGAGAGGGACAAGTTGAAGAAATTGAAAAATGAGAGGATAACTCATTGGTGGAGTAACAACTTGGAATAGATAGGAAGAAGTGGGACCCAGAACACATTGGCATTTTTCTCTGACTCAAAAGAATATGGCTAAAGATAAGTTTAGAAGAGATTAAGGCAGAGAAAAATAGAAGGAATTCATACTTAATGTTTTCTATTTTCTCTGTAGAGTTGGTGGCAGTTTAGTGTAAGCTGGATGGGTCTGGTGGAACACTTGAGTTTAGAATTGCCTCTGAAGAGATTGTGAAAAAGGACTCACCTAAGGCTTCTGGTTCTTTGGAGCTTCATCTCTAAAATGAGGGGTGTAAGTGTTGCTCTTGAGGTATCTCAGTGTTGATTCAGGCCAGTTGGGAAAGAAAAAGAATAATTGAAGGACTTTGGGGAAAAAAAATCTAGCTTGGTAGAAACAAATTTATTTAATGACAAGTTAGTAAAATAGATGCCATGTTTAAAATACTACTTTTTTTTTTTGCAAAGAGCAGAGCAAGAAAAATATGTAAGAAGAAAATGGAGCAAAACTATGATTTGGGTACCTTATGAGTGTTTTTTTAAATCTCAGTTTATGTAAAATGGAGATAATAATACCTCGTGAGTTGTGAGGATTTAAAAAAACTTTCTAAGATACTAAACACAGTGCCTTTCTCATAGTAAGTACATAATAAATAGTAACAAATATTTTTATGATTCTGAGTTCCCTTTTTGGAAGGGATGGCAGTATGAAAAATGTTCCCTGGGAAACAGGAGATTTGGTTCTGGTACTGCACTAACTCAATGAAATACCACTAATGTAGAAAGATCTTACCCCAATGTTCATTGCCTTTTAGATTCTCTCCCCCACCCCAGTTTCTTCTGACCCACACAAAAAATCAGCCCAGGAAGCATGGATTTGGCAGGGATTGGTATTGTTGGAAACATAATCTTAGGCAAGGAACAGCATGACTGTTTTGGGCTTTTAGATTTCCATGATTGACATTGTTGTCAGTGGGCCAGTAAAATTTGCTTACAACTAAAGGTCTGTCTGGAGGACAGTTTGAGTGGGGTACAAAATAAATTCAGTATCCTGGAATAGAGTTGAAAGTATATACAGAAAGTTGGCCATCTGTTAGGTTTGTTGTAGGCTTGCATTATAAAATGAGCTAAGTGCTTTTTTAGGCTGTCATTCTATTCTCTAAACATAAAATCCTTCTTGTAATTCATGATACTAAAGGTATTTCACAAGTACTGTTTTTTAAGTTATTAAAAAATCAAATATTATATGCTTTTATTTAGTTTTGCCACTTACTTTTAAATTATTTATTCTGATTTGTTATATATAATGGCAGAATGAAATTCATTTCATATTACACATATAGAGCACAATTTTTTAAGACACTGATTGTACACAAAGTATTTTCACACCATTCGTGTCTTATACATGTACTTAGGGTAAAGATGTCTAATTTATTCCATCATCATTCCTACTCCCTTGCCCCTCTTTCCTCTCCCTTCCCTTTGCCCTATCTAAAGTTCCTCCATTCCTCCCATCCATCCCTCCCCACTCCCACACTTGCCATTATGTGTCTTATGAGTGTTTTTTTAAATCTCAGTTTATGTAAAAATCCTCATATCAAAGAAAACATTTGGCCTTTGGATTTTTGGGATTGGCTTGCTTCACTTAGCATTATATTCTCCAACTTCATCCATTTACCTACAAATGCCAATTGCATGCTTTTTGTAAGAACTTTAGGTTACACAAAAGTATATATAAGGTAAACAAAAGTAAAATAACTCTGAACCTTTCCTATTCTCAGCCTACTTTCTAGTGGTAACAATTTTCTTTGTATCCTTTCATAATTGTTTTAGGCATAATGATGCAAATAAATGTTCATGCATCTATATATGAGTGTATGTGTGTATACATACATACATATTTACATTCTGTTAATAAAAGTCATCTTCCTAAATAATACATTACTTTTTGAAAGTGGCACTCTATAGTAAATCTTTGCATACAGTCATAGATAATCAGTTGATGGATATATAGTTTAATCAGTACCCTGATAACATTTTAGTTAGTTCTAGTTTTTTCCTGCTATTAACAATTCTATAATAAAATACTTGTACATATCTTATTATAGGATAAATTCCTATTAGTGGAATTAATGGGTCAAAAATATGTGGATTTTTTTTACATTGACAGATATTACCAAATTATTTCTTAAAAAGACTATAGCAAATTCTTTACCCACTAGACTTTTTATTCATACTTTTACCAACATTGAGTATTATTCTTCTGGGATTCATAATTTTTTTCTGGTTACTTTTGTAAGTTAAGTTTTTCCACATGAATTTTAAAATAATTTTTTAGGAATTTTTAAAAACATTTTTAGTTGCTGAGTATAATAACTTTATTTTATTTATTTATTTTTTTATATGGTGCTGAGGATCAAACCCAGGGCCTTACATGTGCTAGGCAGGCACTCTACCACTGAGCCACAACCCCAGTCCTAGGAATTTTTTTTTTTTTGTGGGGAATATTTTAATTAACATTTACTTTATACCTGTTGAGCTTTCCTAATCTGAAATCTGAAATGCCCAATATCTAAAACTTTTTGAGCACTGACCATGCTACAAGTAGAAAATTTCACATCATGAAACTGTTTCATGTAAAAAATTATTAAATATTGTGTAAAATTACCTCTAGACCCTATGTGAAACATGTATATGAAACAAACATTCCAAAATCTAAAACAATTCTGTTTCCAAGCATTTTGGGTAAGGGATATTCAACCTGTAAGTCAATTTATGGTAAGTTGACTTTACCTATGCAAGAGTAGGTATGATTTTGCACTTTAATGAAGCAATTTACCTTATTAATCCTTAGAGCTACTCTACTTTTTTCCCATTTTTACAAATAGGGAAACTGAAGTCATGAGGCATAAGTGACATGGTCATACAATTATTAGAATGCAGCACTGGTAAAAGTCTATCTGGTATCAGTCCATCTGATACCAGCACCTCTGATATTTTTTTTTTTGTGGTGATATTGGGGTTTGAACGCAGGGCCTTGTGCATGCGAGGCAAGTACTCTACCAACTGAGCTATAAAATCATACCCAGCCCCCTTTATATTTTTTAAACAATCAAAAATACAAATTTGCCAGGCACAGTGGTGCACACCTGTAATTCCAGTGGCTCGGAGGCTGAGACAGCACAAGTTCAAAGCCAGTCTCAGCAACTTGCCGAGGCCCTAAGCAACTCAGTGAGACCCTATGTCTAAATAAAATACAAAATAGGGCTGGGGATGTGGCTCCATAGTTGAGTGCCCTGGTTCAATCCACAGTACCAAAAAAATACAAATTTATTTTTACTTTTACTTGAAATAGGTCTTACACAATTTCTAATATTTGAAGTAATTTTATAGAAAGTGCTAATAGGTAAGGAACATATTATTCAATTTCAGGTTTTAATATACCTCTTATTAGCTTGAGGCCTTTTCCTATTTTTTGTTTGTTAATTACTGCTTACTAATCACTTCTCCACCTCATTTAAGTTAGTTTTGTAGGGGCTTTTACCTTTTAAAGAAAAATTCTACTTATTCTATTTATTTGCTTATATGTCAGCATCTGAAAATATTCACATTTGTTAAAATAGGTGAAATTGAGCCCAGAGCTACATATCGAGTCAATATTATAAAAATGCATGGAAGTAAAGCATTCTGAAGAAAATCTAGGACCACAGAATTTATTTGCTGAAATACAATGTATTATTCAAATCAAGAATAAGAGTGGAGAAGAATTATTCATTTTCCCTGCTAAAATCATGGAGGTAGAAGAACAACAGCAGCCATGGAAGACCAGCTTTTACACAGAATTGCCAAAAGTGGTGAGAATTCTTGAATGGTTACTCATTACAATGACTTTTATTTTGTTTCTTTCCACAAAACAAAAGTAAATTTTATGGGTAGAATCTGTAAATTTTACAAGTTATGTAACTCACTCTAATAGTCAGTTTGCTTGATATAAGATCTTACTGATTGTATTCTCTTGTTTTAGGAACTTCATGCCCACTTAAATGGATCCATTAGTTCTAATACTATGAGGAAATTAATAGCCAAGAAGCCAAATCTTAAAATTCATGATCATATGACTATGATTGACAAGGGAAAGAAAAGAACTCTAGAAGAGTAAGTTTGGGGAGTTGTGGAAATACTTTCTTTCTTTCTTTTTTTTTCCCCCATTTTGGTACTGGGGATTGAACCCACAGGCACTGAACCATTGAGCCACATCCCCAGCCCCTCAGACTGTTTTTGTATTTTTTATTTAGAGACAGGGTCGCACTGAGTTACTCAGGACCTCACTAAGTTGCTGAAGCTGACTTTGAACTATGATCCTCCTGCATCAGCCTCCCGAGCCAATGGGATTGAAGTCACGTGCCACTGTGCCTGGCTTTTTTAAAATCAGTATTTTGAGATTGTAGTAATTTAATATAATATATAAGACTTCAGATTTTAGTAGTTAAAAGAAAGAGGGTGATCATCTGGCATGGAGAATATAACTTAACAACATTTTCCAACTGTCAGACTATTGACAGTATTTTTAATGATTTGTGTTATTTATGAATTATGATATATTAGAATATTCTTTAGACTTGAAGTAAAGGTGTATTGATTTTTTCCATTTGCTGATACTGGCAGAAGAGGCAGGGTTAGATAATAAGGTTTTATTTTTAGTCATTTTATTATCTTTCCAGATATATATAATTTTTGAAAAACCTATTCTGTGGTTCTTTGTTAACCTAAATATATACTTACTACTAGCCTAAAATCTATTTATTAATTCAGCTTAGGGAGTTTCTCTTGAGTGACAAGTTTTTTGTGACTACCATGTCAAAACTTTTCATATTGCAGGTGTTTCAAGATGTTTCAAATTATTCATCAACTTACTACTAGCCCTGAAGATATTCTAATGGTGAGACATGAAAGAATTTTTAGAATGAGTTACAAGTTATGGTTTTAGAATGGTTTAAAAATTATTGACTAATTTATGCTTTTCTGTTGTTGAAAATGACCTTTTGCTTTCAAGAGTCTGATGAGCCAGGTGCGATGGTGCATGCCTATAATCCCAGTGGCTTGGGAAGCTAAGGCAGGAGGATTGTGAGTTCAAAGCCAGCCTCAGCAAAAGTGAGGCTCTAAACAACTCAGTGAGACCCTGTCTCAATAAAATACAAAATAGAGCTGGGGATGTGGCTCAGTGGTTGAGTGTCCCTGAGTTTAAGCCCTGGTACACTCGCCTGCAAAAGAAAAAGTGTGTGACAAACGTTTTCTTTTTTTATAGCAATTCTTTTTTTTAAAAAATATTTTTAAGTTGTAGATGGACAAAATATCTTTATTTATCCATCTTTATGTGGTGCTGAGGATCGAACCTATTACCTCACCTGCACTAGGTGAGTGCTCTACCACTGAGCCACAACCCTAGCACCTGTAGCAATTCTTTTTAAAACCAGTTTTAAGACATTTTCCTAAGACTTAATGTTTAAAAAAGAAAAAAAAAGGGCTGGGGATGTGGCTCAAGCGGTAGCGCGCTCGCCTGGCATGCGTGCGGCCGGGGTTCTATCCTCAGCACCACATACCAACAAAGATGTTGTGTCCGCCGAGAACTAAAAAAAAATAAAGATCGAAAATTCTCTCTCTCTCTCTCTCTCTCTCTCTCTCTCTCTCTCTCTCTCTCTCTCCTCTCTCACTTTCTCTAAAAAAAATAAAACAGAGAGAAAGATAGATAAATTAAAAAAAAAAAAAGAAAAGAAAAAAAAAACTGTTTAATGTAAAAGATATAAGGAAAGAACCAAAATCACCATGGAGGAGAAAATTTGGTCCTATTTTCCATATATAATATATCATATGAAATATTTGACCTCACATAGCCATGTCTTTGGTAAGACTTATCTAAGACTTATCTGTATTCTAGAGGAGATTTTTAATTGTCTGGGTGGACAGTGAAGTTTATGAAGTACTTAGGGATTAGGTGATCAATCCTTAGAGAAATTGTGCCCTCTCAGGGGATGATGGACTAAAGGACACCACTGTGTTCTCTTATCCTAAGCGTCATGGTCTTATACGGAAGACTGGCTTATGTATCATTGATCTGACCAAGATGACATTTTGTTTTTTCAAAAACATTTTATATTTGTTCTTTTTAGATATACCAAGAAAACATTTTGCTTGTAAATGTGGCACTGAGTGGGGGAATTCACTTAAAACTATAGCCAAAGTGACCTGTGACTTTGAATGTCAAATAGAGGATTGGAATGTAGCCTGAAAATGTATTCGTTATTAAGTGTGCCAGATACTACACTCAGTGTTTCTCTCTAAATAGTATTTTTATTGTTCCCTTGTTGCAGGTGAAAAAATGGACTTAAATGGGGATTGAAGGTGTAGTTCAGTGGTAGAGTACACACTTTGCTTAGACAGAACTCTGGGTTCAATCCCTAGCACTACATCCCCACAAAAAAGAGGTTAAATGGAACTTGTTCAAGGTCTCACACAGAGAGTAAGTGGCAGAACTGTCTAACTGATTCCAGAACCCATGTGCTTTCCAATTTAGGAACTTAACAAATTGTGATGTACTTTTATCTGGAAAAAGGACTGGAAAAGATATTCTCAGTCCAGAGGAGGGGAAAGCCCAAAACAGAGAAGAGTTGCCCTCAGTACCTATGGCAAGGAACAGAAGGAGCTAAACCTGGCAGATAAAATGTGGGTCCCAGGGCAGGTTTCTTGGATGTGGGTTAGGGATGATTCCACAGGCCTCACTGGGTCTTGATAAATCTTCTTCACTTTGTTTTTGTTCCAGACCTGCCAGCAACATTTACATTAACCATTTGTTTTCATATATACCAAAATTATCAGAGCTGGATGTGGTGGTGCATGCCTGTAATCCCAGTGGTTCCAGAGGCTAAAGTAGGAGGATTGAGAGTTCAAAGCCAGCCTCAGCAAAAGCTAGGCACTAAGTAACTCAGTGAGACCCTGTCTCTAATAAAATACAAAACAGGACTGGGGATGTGGCTCAATGGGTGAGTGCCCCTAAATTTAATCCTCAGTACCCACTCCCACCAAAAAAAAAAAAAAACGAAACTCAGAAAAGGAGGGCTTTGGATAGTGGATATGATCACTTTAGTCACTGGAAAGGACTGGTATTTCAAACCCTCATTCAGCCTAACTCTTCATTCTCTAACAGATTTCTATGTTGGTCTCAAGTTAGCTGGGGTAGGATGAGTTGGTTCCTCTGGTCTATTCAGTTCTAGGGTAGTGATAAGATCCAGTTTGCAAAGATGAGACCCACACTTTCGGTGTAACATTGGCAGCAAGATGGAGGTTCTAGGGGAGCAATCACAGGGCCAGGTGCCAGCAATGAAGGTGGAGGCTGCAGGGTCATGCCCAGTAGTGGAGGTAGCAGGAGTATCTTACATGATATAGGAGTGTCCCATGATTTTGAATGCTATAGTATTATTTTAAGCTGGGTTTGGTTTTCCAGACCTCCTGCTGAATTTGAACTATCCATCCATTTACATTAACTCTGTTCCTTTGTCAGGATTCTAGACTTGTATGTTTATGTGCACATAGTCAAAGCAGATTAAGATTAGAAAACCAATTGAAAGGCTAACTAGGCCAGGCTGTCATAGCATCCTCAACCTGGTCTATTTTCACCTAGATTAGATTTTTCTTAGGATTGATGGTAGAAAAGGAAAATGTTTTAGTAAGTTTTGGGTTGTTAAAATTGGTACAGTATTAGATACCATTTTGCTTTTAGTTATCACCTACTTTCTTTGCCTAATGGGAATTTTCCTAAATATTTCTGGGGAAAATTTAACCCTGCCAGAATTTATTGAAAAATACAACTCATCCCCAAATAACATGGAGCTGGGGCATGGTTCAGTGATAAAGTTGCTTGGCATATGTAAGGTCCTGGATTTGATCCTCAGCACCAAGAAAAAAACAAAACAAAACAGAATGAGAACCTGCCAGGAGCTGCCACATGGGAACCAAGTGCCCCTTAGCTTTGAGTGATGAGAGTGGGGAGATGTGGCAAGCCAGCCATGGGCTGTGTGTGTGTGTGTGTGTGAACTATGAGCATTGAGTGCACAGGGTGGACTGAACTGATGTTGCTCCTCTGTTTGGGCGGGTGACGTATCTGTCTTTTTGCTCCTTCTGCCTATGATCCTCACACAGCCCATGAGATGGGCGTGACCTTCCTAGATGTCAGGCAACCTTCTGACAGCAAGACATCACAAATCAACACCCTGAAACCCTAAACAAGACTCAATCCCCTGAAACTGGTCCCCTTGCCTCATTTAAATGGCTTATCCCCAATAAAAGGGTTCAGTACGTGCTGAACTAATACTGGTAGGCTCTCTTTCTTGCCTGCCTTGCCCCCCTTATGGGAGCTGTGGCTGAGGAGCAGTCACTGAACCCAAAGAAAGGGTACTTTCTGTGTCTGTGTCTTTATTTATTCCCCAAATTCACTTGGAATGACCCTGACCGGTTTAGCTGTGTGATGTGACAAGAACCTTAAACCATGACTCTATATAGCAGATTAGTAATGCCCAGTCATTACACCAGCAATCATTTTAGCTCTTTATTTCTATATGTACATTTCTTAGCACTATACACACATGGATGATTCCAGTTGGTTTTGCCTTATTTCTTTGTTTTTATCAGTTTGCTATTAGGAACACTTGGAAATAGAGGAATGGTTAAAAGCACAGGAGAATGCTGATGATATACAGATTTGGATTTAATGTGGGAATGAAAGGGATGATGGGAAATGTTGCAGCTTTGTCATGGTTTCTATCAGGGATGTGACCATGTGGGAAACTTCCAACATTTCTTGTAAATAAATTTTTTTTTTTTTTTTTTTTTTTGGTACAAGGAACTGAATCCATGGGTGCGTAGCCATTGAGCCACTATCCATAGCCCTTTTTATTTTATTTTATTTTTTATTTTGAGACAGGGTCTTACTAGGTTGTTTATAGCTTTGCTAAATTGCTGAGGCTGACTTTGAACCTGTGATCCTCCTGCCTCAGCCTCCTGAGCTGCTGGGATTAAAGGTGTGTGCCACCATGCCTGGTCACAAATCAGATTTAATAAATGAAATAAAGCTGTGCCACTTGGCACTTCCACTGTGACCATAGCTCTAACATTAGTAATGTTGTGTACATTGCCTTTATTATTAGGTCACAAAAGATGTCATTAAAGAATTTGCAGATGATGGTGTCAAGTACCTGGAACTGAGGAGCACACCTAGAAGAGAAAATGATACTGGTAGAATTCAATTACTTCTCAGTGAACATACTATCCATTTTCCGATGTACTTTAATCATTCATGTGTTTAGAAGTTGGGAGTATGAGCACTAACTTTTATACTATTGTTCTCTATTTTCATGGGGACCTTTCTGCCTCACTGAAGGCCTGTAGCACTAGGGCCAGTGAGCCAGAATATTATGGTGGGGAGCACATGATGGAGCAGAACTGCTCACCTCATGGTAACTGACATGTGGGAAGAGAGAGGGAAAGCAGGGTCCCAGTATGTCCCCCAGGGTCTTAGCCCTTAGTGACCTACTTCCTTCAGTAGGCCCTACCTCCTGAGGTTCCACCACTTCCCAATAGTGCCATGTTTTTTCTCTTTCGTTTTTCTACATTACTTTTTTTTTTCAAGTTTGTTAAATTATAATTATCATTTACTAAAATGTACCCATAAAGGCTTTAACCATGCCCTGTTATAGCATGAAGTGAAAATGTAATTGTTCATATAGGGATGCTAAAGTTGAAAGATGAAATAGTTGATGATCTTTTTATGTATGTTTCCTGTGTGTTCCTTTCAGGAATGACCAAAAAGACTTATGTGGAATCCATACTTGAGGGTATAAAACAGTCTAAACAAGAAAATTTAGACATTGATGTTAGGTAAGAAGATTGTACCTTAGTAGTTAGCCATTAAAACAAACAAACAAACAAACAAAAACCACTAGAATGTGAAGTTTTTATATTTTGATCATAGATGTAATAGATTTTAAAAAATTTGTCCATTAACTGATTTCTACCTATAAGAGAAAAATAAAATAAAATCAAGACCTCTATTGTTTAAGATAAGACTACAATTCTGAATTTAGTCATCTGGCAATAAAATTCTGAGTATTTTTACTTAAGTGGAATATGGCTTCTCAGTGCTGTTAAGCTGATTTGGACTTTTTACCATGGCCCCCATGGTCCCTGTGGTCTTATTGCATCTGTTACTTTTACAGCTTATCTAGACCATTTATCCTCAATTACTACACACTGGTCTATGCTCTGTTCCTAAAATAGGCCAAAACTATCCCACTTAGCACCTTGTACTTCCTGCCATTTTTACCTTCCAACCATATCCTGGTACAGCAGGCTTTTTCACATTATCTTCAGGTCTCAATTTGGTTGTCACTTCCTCAGAAGCACCTTCCTTAGCACTTTAAGTACCCTTCCCCCCCACACCCTCCACCACACACACAAATTCTCTAGTCACCATCTGTTTCCTTTATGGCATTCTTTATAAGAGACACAGAATTATCTTGCGCGTTATTTGTGTACGTATACCTGCCCACCAGCATTTAAGTTCAGAGAGGCCAAAGACTTTGTCTTTACTTTACCACTATGTCTCCAGTACTTTGAAGAACAGGCAGATAGTAGGGACTCAGTAAGTCCTTGAGTGAAGAAAGAAGGCAAGTTAGCTGAAGAGTTTCAGGCTATAAGATCTCTAAAAAATTAAGCTTAATTAGACTAAAAGCCCAATGAAAGACCCAGCAGAAGACAAAAATACAATGAAGAAAAGAAATCATATAAAATATTTAACCTCATTAATTGGGTAATCTTAAAAGGGAATTACAGTATTGTTTCAGAAGTTAAAAAAATAGAACTAGTGTTTGAGAAGTTATACACTGCTGTTATTATTATACCATATGTAATTAATAAAATCTCTCAAGAGTGTGTATCAAGATTTTTGATGGTTTTTGCTCTGAACAGTAATGAATCATAAAGAAAACAGATCTAGAAATGGATTGTAAGGAAATAGATTAATTTGTGCATAAGACTTTATTGTAGTATTATTTATAACAAAAAGAAAATATCCTAAAATATCCAGCAATCAGAGGTCAATTACATTATGGTATGTAAATATTAGTTTTACTATTTTCTACCGTTACTTAATGGTACAGGAGATTGAGTGAAGGAAAAGACCCTGTATTTTCTATATAGTTGATCCAAATTTTGTAAATAAATGAACAAATGCTAAAGGAATTTATTTTGTGAATAAATAAATTAATAAATGCTGGAGAAAAATCACAACAATATTAGCAGGGATTCTTTGGGTATTTGAGTCCTATAGAATCCCAACTAATGTATGAAGAATGAATCAGATATTTGATACATTTTTTAATTAGAATTTGTACTAATTTTGTACCCTAATGAAATAATGAATCTAAGCCTTCCTGAGAACACACTACCACCTATTTATTCTTGCCAAAAATTGAATCTGTTCTGGTTAAGCCTCTAGACTAGATCCAATTATCAGTTTATAGGAAATAGAAGAGACAGTAGAAACATATTAATAAAGGATATAACTAACAAAATGAACAACCTGATTTTCTTCAATAAATAAATAGCAAGATAAGAGGTGGGTGGGACTGGGGGAAGTAGAGGAATGAGTGGCTATAGATTTTAAAATAAGAGAGAGAGATACATTGACTAACTCAAGATGTAGACCTTATTTGAATCCTGTATCAAGAAACTGTTAAAACTGTAAAAAATCAAATAATAAATAAAACAAGTGAGACAATTAGAAATTTGAACACTAACTAGATTTTTTTAGTATAAAGATTGTTTTAATTTTAATCAAAAAAAGATTTTATCATCCAGATGTTCCAAATAGTTTATATTTTCAGATACAAACTAAGAGTTCTAACTAGGTATTTGATGCTATTTAAGAATTCACATCTCATTCTCCCTGGTAAAGTAAAATTTCATGCTGTCTAGATGCAGGCTTTATTTTCCCTAGTAATTTGTATTATATGTGGCCTGCTATACCTATCTAGCCTCACTAGAGTTGTCTTTTTCATTTGCATCATTATAATTTTCATCTATTTTTCACATATTAAAGATATTTGATGGCAATTGACAGAAGAGGCGGCCCTTCAGTAGCCAAGGAGACTGTTAAACTTGCTGAAGAGTTCTTCCTTTCCACTGAAGATACAGTTCTTGGCCTTGACCTCAGTGGAGACCCTACTGTAAGTTATTTTTTTCTAAATATATTTTATTTCTTAATGTTAGAAGCATTCAGTGGGGTAAGCATTTACATGGAGCATCCTACCTTCTCCAGAGAGTCCAGCATATACTCTGTAAATGAAGCTTTGTTCTTCCTTGGATGACCAGAATGTCTAGAGCAGGTGTTCTCAGCTAAAATTCTGTGAAAGAATTAAGCATCATTAAATTTTTTTCCTCATTATATAACCATTTTCTCCATTCTTCTAAAGATAGTGCATAACTATTACCAGCTCATATGCATGAAAGAGAAGTTAGTTCATTAGGTACAGGGGATGGATGTCTTAAGAGTATTAGGGCTTATTTATTCTCATAGAATCCCCAGATAAGAACGGTTGTCCAGAGTTGCTTCAGTGAAAGATTTAAGCAGACGTTTTGACATTCGGGGCCAGATAATTCTTTGTTGTGGGGGCTGTCCTGAGCATTATAGGATGCTTAGTGCATCCCTGACCAATACCTAGTAGATGTCAGTAGCAACCTCCCATGTGACAACCAAAATGTCTCCAGCAAGTGCCAGATATTTTCTGGAGGGCAAAATCATCTGGTTGAAAACCTCTGAATGATTAGTGTTCAATGAAACTGGTTCTGATGACTTTATCTAAACATGGACTATTCTGCATCTTGTTTTAATTTAACAGTTTTTTAGTAATCATAAAATGTTTCTGAATCAAGTGAGTTCTCCTGAGCACTATATATTTAGATATCTTTCCAGAAATAAAATTTGTTGACTGCATATCACGTTTAGCTGATTGACCTGAGGTTCACTGATACTGGGCTTTAGAGGGCAAAGGCTGTCCCTTTGTCAGCTTTGTATTCTCCAAAGTGTCTTGCACAGGGCTGGGGATGTGGCTCAAGCGGTAGCGCGCTCGCCTGGCATGCGTGCGGCCGGGGTTCCTATCCTATCCTCAGCACCACATACAAACAATGATGTTGTGTCTGCGTGTTAGACCAGGACGCCAAGAAAAGACCACTGACTCCAATTAAAATCAAATTAAAGCAAGCTTATTATTTTGACCGGCCGGGCTACCTTTCCCTCCCAAAACGGCTGGAACAAGACAGCCCTGAGGCTTCTTTGTGGCCCAGTTTTATAGCCCAAAAGTTACACAAAGGGGAGGTTACAGATAACAACACTCTGAGGAGCATAACACAAGTTTACATTTTTGCTGGCCCCCAGCATCAGAATTTATGGAGATCTTAGAGACTCAGAGAGGGTCATTGTCCGGCCAGGGAAGGCCAGAATTTATGAGGCGTCACTAAGGTTTAGGAAAGGGTTGTTATCTGGTCAGGGAAAACCGGACCTGGGTGAGTTCAGGGCACGGGCAGGCATTCCAAGTAGGTTCAGAATTTGCAGTAATTTATAGTAAAGCCGAAATTATCTTTTCATGGTTTTATGGCGAGATGCCCAATTTTAAGAAAGGTTGGGTCTATCATGCTGAGAAATGAAAAATAAATATTAAAAAATTCTCTCTCTCTCTCTCTCTCACTCTCTCTCTTTCTAAAAAAAAAAAGTGTCTTGCACATTGTAGGTATTCTATAAAATGTGCAAATGAATTGGTCTGCCATTATTTTATTTATTTGTTTGTTGGGACAGAATATCCAGTTCCTCAGTTTGCCTAGAATTCCTATGTATCCTCATTTTAACTTTTATCTTCAAGATAGGACAAGCCAAAGATTTCTTGGAACCTCTTTTAGAAGCTAAAAAAGCAGGTCTGAAGTTGGCATTGCATCTTTCAGAGGTAAATAATATTGTTTTGGTAAAAGAGGGCAGATTCTAATAGAATATAGTAGTTATTTGTGAGTAAAAATAAACCTGGCTTAGAAAAACATTTTTGAAGGGGAAATGTAGAAATATTTTTAGTTGTAGATTTTTATATTTTGGGCACTAGAGATTAAAACCACAGGTGCTTAATCACTGAGCCACATCCCTAGGCCCACTTTTTTAAAATTTTGAGACAGGCCCTCTCTGAGTTGCTTAGGGCCTTGCTTAGTTGTTGAGGCTGGCCTTAAACTTGTGATCCTCCTGCCTCAGCCTCCTGAGTTGCTGGGATTATAGGCATGTACCACTACACCCACCATGAAATATTTTTATTTATTTTTTTTCTTTTTTCTTTTATTGGTTGTTCAAAACATTACAAAGCTCTTGACGTATCATATTTCATACATTAGATTCAAGTGGGTTATGAACTCCCATTTTTACCCCAAATACAGATTGCAGCATCACATCCGTTACACATCCAC